AGACTAGACTACCCAGAGAAGCCTAAAGAGATTTCCTAGAAGAAGAAGAAGAAGGATTAAATCCTGTCAAGCATCAAGCTAGAGAAGAGGAAAAAAGAAAGAAAAAAGAACGTATTCCCAGAACGTTGGGCTCAGGTGCTGTGCCACGCCCCAACTACACGGGAGAAACAGATCTTACGGCAAGCAAGCATCACCGCCGTCATATTCGAGCAGGTAGTCGCCCCTCCCCTCCTCTCCTATCCGTTGCTTTTCTACCGCAGCCATCCCATCCCTTCCCTCGCAGCAAGACTGGGCCTATCAAACCGAGTCCCACATTGGCCCAATGTCACATCAGTTAGTAGGAGGGTATAAGGAGGAGCCGGCCACTGAACCGGATACCCACCCAGGTCACCCTCAGCAGCACCCACCGCCACCGTCATCTGCGTCAACCCAGCATCCCCAACAACAACAGCAGCAGCAGCAGAGCCAGCATCCCCGACCTAGCCTACCTCATCAACACTCAGGGCAACCCACTCCTTCGTCAACTACCTTCCCGTCACCACATCCTCCTCCACATCAATCATCTTTTGCTCAGTCACCTAGTCTGCCCGGATCTCAGCATTCTCATCCGCAAGACATCGCCTATTATACCCATCCCTCCTCCCCCTACGGCACCCCAGGCGGTAGTGGCCCTTCTTACCCATCTCAAGGTGCGTAAATCTTGCTTGTTTCTTCCCTACGCGTTATGCTCTTTTTTCTTTTTTACCCTCCTCGTGCCCCATCGTTGTCCGCTTCTCGCTAGTTATTGCTGGCAAGTTCACTAGGTTTCAGGCATTTTTGGCTCACCATTGACTGCATTAGCAGAGGGAACAGATCTTATGGCAACGCACACAATGAATCGTCCGCAATACCCCCCTATTTACCATACTCCTCAGTCCAATTCACCCTCATCTGTCGCGTCTCCCACCGCCCCAGATCACCGGTCTGTTTACACTACACAGCCCATGCAAACCCCGATGTACGGCTATCCGCAACAGTACCCCCCGATTCCAGCAGGTCCTTCCTCGTACTCAAACCAAACTCAACATCATAATTTGAACAATGGGCCACTCCTCATGTCACAGACTTCAGGGCAAACCATGACTCCACCGCAGCCTCACCACCAGCATGTGGCTCCAAACACTTCATCGACTGCAAAGATTGCCCAAACACCACTTCATAGAGCTTCGCCTTCCACCCCCTCTTCGGGTGCAAAGCCCGGGCCAGGAAATACTTCTATCAACCCCAATGCCGCCCCCGGACCAATTCCGGCTACTACTCCGCTGGTTGTGAGACAGGACAATAATGGTGTACAGTGGATAGCTTTTGAGTACTCCCGAGATAGAGTTAAGATGGAGTATACCATCCGTTGCGACGTGGAGTCCGTCACCGTTGACAACCTTTCTCACGATTTTAAAACAGAAAATTGCGTGTATCCTCGTGCTTGCTGCTCTAAAGAGCAATATCGTGGTAACCGACTAGTATACGAAACCGAGTGTAATACCGTGGGCTGGGCTTTGGCAGAATTGAATCCATGCTTACGGGGGAAGAGGGGATTGATTCAACGGGCTGTAGACAGCTGGAGAAACTCTAACCAAGATCCCAGACTGCGAAGCAGGAGGGTTCGAAGGATGGCAAAGATTAACAATCGCAAGGCAAATGCACAGGCTGCACAAACTCACCTTGGTGCAGGTTCTCCTCATGGTGTGCCCTCGGCGGGTGTGGGATTAGGGTTGAAAGGTCCAGGGCTTGTTCCTGGCTCGCAGCCACAACTTCATCATCACCATCATCCTGGCACGAATGATTCGCCGTCGGCTCAGAATGGAGAAGAGGAAATGGGAGCCATGCTGCATCATCATCACACCCCTCAATTCGGAGGGGTTCAGGGCCAAATACCCTCGGCAAACACTTCTAGATCCACCTCCGGGCACCTTTCGCCGGCTGTAGGTGGGGAAGAATTTAGCAACGGGCATGCTAACCACCACCACCACCATCAGGCACCAACTAGTGGAAGTGAGATAAGACCGAGACATGTATTTCACGGATACCCCACTGCATATCCGGCAGAAAATGTTGGAGGTGCTTCCATGCCCCCCTCGATGCACGATGGAATGGATCAAATGGGACCTTCTTCTAACACTCCTACGGCAGTAACCGCATCTACTCCCCCGAACAACACCAACACCTCACTGTTCGGTGACATTCCGGATCACAAACGCCGAAAGTTCATACTCGTCGATGACCCCCATCGTGGCTCACGCGTTCGCGTTCGCGTGATGCTTGACCAGGTTCACATGCAAGAGATCCCTGATTCCTACCGCAAGTCCAACTCTGTGTACCCACGCTCTTACATGGCGTCTCAGATGGAAGACGATTCACAGACGGAGGTGCAAACACAAGTAGTTGTTCCCATGCTTGATGGAACCAGCATGACTATTGCTCCCCCCCCACCATCTGGACCCAAGCGCAAGAAGGAAATGGACTTGAATGAACTTGGCTACAGGATGTCATGGAGTCAATCCAGGGTCTTTGCGGGGAGGACAATGTTCTTGCAGCGAGCTCGTAGGTCATAATGCTCCTTCGCGATTATTTGAGATGCGTCTAACATTATTATGGGTTACAGTGGACGCGTATCGCAACAAGATGAGGAGTAGTATGATGGCAGCAGGCACAGATGTCACCTCAACAGCGCCGCACCTTGAAACTAGAGCTGGGAAGCGCAGGTGGTTGGAGAGGAACCGTCGTTCGAAACCCTCCGGATCCTCATCCTAAACTCGAAAAATTACAACCCCCGATTATAAAAAAAACGCGGCAATTGATATTAGATTTCTGTTCTGTCTGGAAGTGTATAAGGAATATGGAGCAAAAAGGAAATAGGGTGGCACGCATTGTTTTGTTTGGGATAAATCGGAACTTTTTTTCGTTTCAAAAAAATCAAAAAAAGGAGGATGGAATTTTTCTTTACAGCGACAGGTTGAAACGTATGGGGGCGGTGGGCTTTTTGTCGTTTTTGTTGCTTTTTTTTTTCCCGTCTCTTTTGCGTTAGAGGATCACGCTGAGCGTTTCCCCCTCGCCCTCTCGAGATGACATGCTATCTTGAGGCGTATTACTATGGTTTTTTTTTGCCTCCCTACCCCTCTACTGACTTGTTGCCTTGCATTAATGACCCCTAACGACTGTTACGACTGCTATGACTATACCAAACTCCTCATAGTCTCTGTTTCTCGATATCTCCTCCCCTCGACCTCTTCCTTCTCCTCTTACCTTTTTTCCCGAGTCAAATCCGGGTACCCTAGCCGTGCTTACTTACCCACCTCCGTCTCGCTTTGTTTTTGTTTTTGTTGTTGCTTTTTCTGCCTTTTCTCTTACCATGTATCTCTTCCCCAATTTTCTTGTATCTCATTTGTTGGCGGGTATCTGTTTGCAGGGTACATTGTACGTATTCCTCAGCCATTTTTTTTTCTTCTATATCTTGCCCTGTGCTTTTTTTCATTTTTATTTTTCGTCTCACTTTATTTCATTCGTACTATATCCTTTTGTGTTTCCCAGGTGTAGGTAGCTAGGTAGCTGAGGTAACTAACTTTGCTAGAATTGCCTCAAATCAAATTAACTTAACCAATCAATCAATCATTCAAATATTATCTATCGGTTGTTGAAGTTGGGTAATCTATATTTGAACTCGGTCCAAGAAACAAAAGACCTGCTGAACACTCAATTAAGACTCCCTCCCGCAACTTATCTATGGCGGGGGGAACAAGCACAGAGGAGGTATATATCACAAGTAACTATCTCGCTAGCTGACTAGCTATATAGTACGATCTCATAACCAGATATAGTGGGGTTACGAACTCCATCCATCCCGCTACGTTGTGATACTCACTGAAACACGGAGAAGTCATAAGTTCTCACTCGGGTCGGCAAGGGGACATGGATGTGTCTAGGGTAGGGGGGTGTGGGGAAGGATTTGCCCTGGGTGAAACGGGCGAGGAGGGGTGCGCTTGCTAGGTTGTGGTTGTGGTTGTGGTGGAAAGGTTGAAAGGTTGCGTGTGCCCTACCCTGCCCTGCCGTGTTATGAACTGGTATGGGACACGTATTGGGGGGTGGTGGTTGGGGGTGTGGCGGGGGGGGTGGGTGCCTTTTTTTTTTTTTTTTTTCGCCTGTCAAGTTGTGTTGATGAATAGAAAGGGTTTGTGGGTGATTATTTTTTGTTTTTATTTTTATTTCATTCGGAAAGTTTTTTTATTATTTTATTTGAGGAAGTTGACAAATGGTGATGGGTTGTTCGTCGTTCTTGATAGATGGATGGATGGGTAGATAGATGGGTGGATGCGGCGGCGGCGGCGGCGGTAATTTGGGTCAGGAGAAAGAGGGGGATGGAGGAGGGCATGAAGGTGTGAGGTCTTTTTGCTTTGGTCTGGTTTGCTCACTTGGTCGCCTTGCTGCTCCTCCTTTCTCCTGCTGCTCAGCGCGATGTTGTGCTGTCGTGGACTCGTGGTGCAAATCGGTTCTGCAATGTATCATAATGCACTGTATCGTATCGTCTTTTGTTAGATGGTGTGGTCTAGTTTGTGCTTCTTCTGGTCCACCCGTTCATCATGATTGTTCGGCCGGTTTGTTGGCTCAGTCATGTTCCGTCCGTTAGTATCGTAGAGTATGGCGGTGATCACGCTGAATGTGTTGACGCTCATGTCATGTCATGTCATGTAATATAATACGGTCCAGTCTTTCCCACTTATTTACTGTAGGCATGATATGTGTATGTTGTGCGCGTGTGTCAAGGGTTCCTGAGCAAAGGTTCCCCGGAATCATAAATTACTGCGCTGGCGGTCGATGAGGGCTCATCGCTACTGGGTTTTATTACATATCATACTTATGGTGGAGAAGTGGAGTCTTTTGTTCGCTGAGATCGATCCTCATTTTTTCCTGTTGTCAAGGCTTAGATGGGAGGGTGGTCCCTTAGCTTGAAAACTTACTTCTCGATGCAGCTTTCTATCCCTCAGGTGGAGGATAGTTCGTTGCGAAGATGGAAAGGAGGAAGAAATGGATCTGAGGGAAGCGGGAGGGATGGGGGAGATGCGAGATTCCCCGCTTTGCCCTTGATTGCACTTTCTTTCTTTCTTTCTCTCTTTCTTTCTTTTTCACTCCTTCTCCAAAACTCCCCGTGGTGCCCAACTGGTTTAACTACTAGTTTTGACCGAGGTTTTGCGATGGTGCCCTCCTCTCCATCCACTCGACCACCTACCACGCGTACAGCACGGCTTTCACCCACGACTCAAGCTCTCCAGAAGGTCTCTTTTGCCTTGAACTCGTTCCAATTTTCTGCTTGACCAGTGAGCGGATTCTACCCTTTGACTGCCACCGCTCGGTCCCCGCGAGAGGTTTGAGGTAAGGTGGAGGAGGGGGCAGGAAGGCGTTTGAGAAATGATAACCGTGGGCTATTATTATCGACGGCTGGTATGAGACGTGTACGAGGTATGATGTTTGGAGGTGCTTTAATGGTGGTGAAGGTTAGTGATGACGGGAAGGATGGCAGATGAGTAGGCTTGTGGGTCTGGGTATACAATCTGGGTTTGGTAATGGTTTCTACGAGGCCTCAGGCTGGAGTTGGTTCGTTACGGGCTCTGGGGAACAGGACTACTGTCGGTTGGCTATGATACTTGCTCACTTCGGGTTTACCCTTTGAGGTTGGGCGGATAGGGCAGTTCTTGTTGATGGGTAGGTAGGTATCATAGTGGGCTATTTAGGTAGTGGGCTATTCGGTGGAAATGATGATTTGTTCGGTTCGTGGATGCCCGTACCTGTGTCTCACGAAGCACTACTACGGACTTTTTTCCTTCTACTGTTTGTGTATCTATGAACTTCTCTTGAGCATTCTTAGTCTTTTGGTTGGGATAAATGAAGGTTCACCATGGCTGATGAATGGAATAAGTACAGCACCTTGCAGACCCTTTTCCCGGATACGACCTGGGTTGGAAGAAGCTGGTGATTTGGAACCCGTGGTTTTGGTGGAAGCTGCGCACGTACCATAATCGAATCTATCTATGATATCTGGCAAGGAGTCTCATGTTATTAAGATTCACAAGTAACCCTCCAGCGTTTATGAATGGGGTTGGTCCCGGAGTCACATGTTCGGTCTGCCCTCTCCACCACCACCAACACGGGGTTACAGGATCACAGAAGGTACAGGAACCGCTTTCTTGCTGAGGGGGCCCATGAAACAGGCCATGAAGCACCTGGGCAATGCTCACAATCGGTTATATCCTTGGACCGAACAAAGGCTATACTATCGTGAACGAAAGGGCCATTACAAGCACTGCAGAGGGGATAATTTACAGTACTGCAGGTACGGTTGTAACCTCACGACGTACCGGATTCACCCTTCGTTCCAACAAAGGGTAGCCGCTTGAGGAGTACGTCACCGATATCTACTACTACTACTACTGCTACCTACTGCTACTATTATTAAAACGGTTACAACGGAACCGGTTACAATCATACTATATCTAACCCTGCTTTCGATACTACGTCTCGGCGCCACATCCAACAAATAAATTTTTCAAGTGGCCACGTGGAGGGCATCTACTAGAAGTAGTAGTACGAGTACGAGTACAAGTACCTGTAATGGTGGTAGTAGTAGCAGTCTACCTACTACTTTATTCAAAATTCATGGACCTCCCCCCAATCACGGAAGGATAATCCAATCCAACTCCAAAATCTCAAAACGACCGCAGCTCGCCGCTGCTCGGATTGTTTTTTTTTTCTTCCAAATCAATCCCATCGATACAGCTTTCGCTCTTATCGCCTGCATGTCAATGCCCTAAGAAAACATTACGTCATGCAGAAGTACTCGTACAGCGACAACAGCAACGACCAACAATCTATCGCGACGCCGACGCGATGCGATACGATGCGATGCGATATGATGCGATACGGTAATCGCGATTTTATCTATGCGCATACCGGCCGGCTCCCGAATGCGCGCGTATGGGAGATTAATTCCGGTGGCGGCCTAACTCTATTACGGCCAATTGGGCGAAGCATCCCTCAGGTAGTGATAGTAATTTCCGAAGGGGGGAGGGGGGGGTATTATAAGTTACGTATCATACGGTACTCGGGAGGGAGGAGAGAGGAGGGGGTGGTAATACTGATTATGTGAGAAAACTGTTGCGGTCGGCGGTTGGTGGGGTTTGAGTGAATTGGGTATTTGCCATGGGCGTGTGCGTGTGTGCTCTGGTTACGTTTCGATTTGTGGGGGAGTTCCTGGAGTGAGGAGTTGTGATGGGCTGATTTGTTTGTTTTGGTGGTGTAACTTGACTTGCCTTGACCCTTACTTATCGGTATCTTAGCACGCCACGGTGGTGATTGGTATATTTAGCCTTTCGAAACGGGGGGACCATGATTTAGGTGTCCGGTGGCGCCCAGGAACGGGGGCCATAGTTCGTGCCGTGGACTTATGGGAGCGAGGGAGTTGGCTGAGCGAAGGGAGTTAGTCGGGTGACGGTTTACGCGGTATAGCAGCAATAAGCTATATGTTTATCGCTGCTTGTGTTGCGGCGGGGTAATCCGGTCATTCCCTTCAACGACATTGACGAGCCTTTTGGTTACCAAATATCCTACCCCCGTTGGAACATTTGCTACCATACCTCCTCCGCCCATCGATCTATCCCCGCCCCAAACTTTTCCACGGGTTGATCATCTGAGTTCCCGGATGAAGCGTCCCCTGCATCCCGGTCCCACTCCATTGCGTGCCTTATACCCGGCCATTTGGGTGGGGGAGGGGGGGGAAATTATAGGATCGAGGGTGGGGGTTGGATGCTTGTGCCGTGTGTTACATACAATACATGTTTGGGTTCGGTGTCATGGCTATTCTCACGTGAAAGCTGAGTGATGAGCTGTGAGTATTCATGCCGTATTCCCCTATTGTGGGGTGATATCATGATGCATGCTTTCTGAGTGCATGGGATTTATTAGGTATCATACGAGGGGATTTCGGACGTATTACTTTTATCGCACCTGTTTCGCGGAGGAGGAGTGGGGGTTAAGTCATAATAATCATTCGAGTAAGGGAAGGAGAGAAGGAAGGAGGGTTGGGGAGCGACAACTACCTATCATACCCGTGTGTAAGGCACTGTATTTTATAGTACAGTATGTGTATGGGTTACGTTAGATTAGAGTTAACCTTCGGGAGGGGGTTTCGGTCGAGATGCCGTGCCGGGGGGCATGGATCTGCGGGTAGCGGGAAGACACGGTACAGTAGGGCACTTTGTAAGGAATACTCGGATCATATCGTTCACAATCATCCAGGAAAATTAAAAAAAAGGAAATAAAAGGAAGAAAGGCGCGCTTGCGCTATGTCAAATGTGGAATGTCACCCGGGTTATGCGTTGAAGTATTCCTTTCTTCAAAAGCATATGCTAGCAACAGTCATCATAGGCTTGCGTGAACATGAAGTGAATCGAAACAAAACCTGGTGACCATCACCCCCCCCATGAATACCCCAATCGACCGAACCGGTAACCGCAGGATAAGCCTTACGCTAGATCATCCAAGCGTAGGCTACAGTACATTTATTCATTCATGCGTGCATGCACGCGCGCTCACTCACTCGAGGTGAAATAT